TTCAATATATATAAAGCAAACCATGACAGAACTATATGAAGAAGGAGGTAGATGCCCTGTCAGAACTGGTGACTCTAACATCCTTCCTGCAGTAACTAATAGACAATTAATAGACCAATAGTAACCAAGGGACAATAGTTTTTATCGCTGAAAAGTCAGTAAAGATATAAATAAAAAGCCAAAAAAGATACAGGAGACCTGTATAAAATCACAACCTAGTTGGTATTCACAGAACAACATACTCACCAAAGAGAGAATACACATCTTTGGGGGGGTAGAGGGACACGCAAAATTTACTAAAATTGACTTCATGCTCAGCCATAAAGTAAATTCTTAATACACTTCAAAGGACTGCAATCATAGAGAGTATGTCTCTGACTGCAGAATTCAAGTAGGATTCAACAATAAAAATATTAACTAGAAAATCCCCCCAAAGTAAGTGTTCCTTTTTTTTGGTTTATTTTTGTTTTTGTTTTTTTTAATAGTTTATTGTCAAGTTGGTTTCTGTATAACACCCAGTGCTCATCCCCACAAGTGCCCTCCTCCATGCCCATCACCCCCCTTCCCCTCCCCCCCACCCCAACTGCCCTCAATTTGTTCTCGGCATTCAAGAGTCTCTCATGGTTTGCCTCCCTTTCTCTCCCCCACTAGTTTTCCCCTTCTTCTCCCCCATGGTCCTCTGTTAAGTTCCTCCTAATCCTCCTATATGTGCAAACATATGGTAGCTGTCCTTCTCTGCCTGACTGATTTCGCTCAGCATAACACCCTCAAGGTCCATCCATGTTACTACACATGGCCAGATTTCATTCTTTCTCATTGCCATGTAGTATTCCATCGTATAGATGAACCACATCTTCTTGATCCATTCGTCCGTTGATGGACACTTAGGCTCTTTCCATGTTTTGGCTCTTGTTGAGAGTGCTGCTATGAACATTGGGGTCCATGTGCCCCTATGCATCACCACTCCTGTGTCCCTTGGGTAAATTCCTAGCAGTGCTATTGCTGGGCCATAGGGGAGTTCTATTGTTAACTTTTTGAGGAACCTCCACACTGTTTTCCAGAGGGGCTGCACCAGTTTACATTCCCACCAGCAGTGTAGGAGGGTGCCCGTTTCTCCACATCCTTGCCAGCATCTAGAGTCCTCTGATTTGCTCATTTTAGCCACTCTGACCGGCATGAGGTGGTATCTCAGTGTGGTTTTGATTTGTATTTCCCTGATGAGGAGGGATGCTGAGCATCGTTTCATGTGTCTGTTGGCCACCTGGATGTCCTCTTTGGAGAAGTGTCTGTTCATGACTTCTGCCCATTTCTTCACTGGGTTGTTTGTTTTTCGGGTGTGGAGTTTGGTGAGTTCCTTATAGATTTTGGATACTAGCCCTTTATCTGATACGTCATTTGCAACTATCATTTGCAATAGACAGCCCATTTCATCAGCTGTCTATTAGTTTTATGGATTGTTTCCTTTGCCGTGCAGAAGCTTTTCATCTTGAGGTCCCAATAGTTCATTTTTGCTCTTGATGCCCTTGCCTTTGGGGATGTGTCAAGTAAGAAATTGCTATAGGTGGGGTCAAGGAGATTGTTTCCTGCTTTCTCCTCTAGGGTTTTGATGGCTTCCTGTCCCACATTCAGGTCCTTTATCCATTTTGAGTTCATTTTTGTGTATGGTGTGAGAAAATGATCTAGTTTCATCCTTCTGCATGTTGCTGTCCAGTTCTCCCAACACCATCTGTTAAAGAGACTGTCTTTTTTCCATTGGATACTCTTTCCCGCTTTGTCAAAGATTAGTTGGCTGTACACTTTTGGGTCCAAATCTGAGTTCTCTATTCCATTGGTCTATGTGTCTGTTTTTGTGCCAATACCATACTGTCTTGATGATGACAGCTTTGTAGTAGAGGCTAAAGTCTGGGATGGTGATGCCTCCCATTTCGGTTTTCTTCTTCAATAGTACTTTGGCCATTTCCAAAGTAAGTGTTTCTTTCAATAAATGATAACATCTTATTAACAAGAACAAGAATGAGCAGATATAGATTATGCCTTCAAGAGTTTTGTCCACCTGGTGGGGGAGAAGAGATACACTCCTTCTCTGGCAAGTAGCCCCCCCACCCCAGGCAAGGGACATGTGACAGGCACCGTGAGAATGCTATGGGAGGGGGGGTGACAATCACATGTAGTCTGATGAGGTGGCTGTGGGAGCGCCCTGGGAGCACATACATTCACACCAGATTTTGAAGGACAAGAAGGACTTGATCACGCAAAAATCAGAGGAAGAGGCATTAGAAACAGAAAGAGTTGTGTCACAAAGCTTGCTACGACAGGGGCAAGATGTCCTCGAGGAATTAATAGTTTAATTTGACTGGAGCAAAGGGTGGGTCACTGGAGTGCTAAAGGAGGGAGAGGTCAAAGCGTGCAGATGCTGAGGGCTCTGAACTCCAGGCCAGGCGGTCCGGTGTTATTCCCAGGCCCACGGGGGGGTCAGAGGAGCGTTTTGAGCCAGCGTGCCTCGACAGAGCTGTGCTTGGGGAAAGCGAGCCTGGCAGGTGTGTGTGACACGGTCCAGAGCTGGGAAATGGGGGAAATGAAGGGAAGTGGATTTAGGGGGACCCGCTGGGAGGCAGGAAGGCTCCCACTTTGGCAGTGACTGGGGAGTGGGGAGGGGGAGAGAAGGCAGCTGCAGAAAAACCTAGACCTCCCTCCCCGAAGAGCCACCCACATCCCTCCCTCACTTAAGAGCAACCTAACAAAGCCTTACAATCACTGCTAATTGCCCCTTTCAAGGTAACGCTCCAACACCGGGAAACGTGTTTCTCAGTGTTTCATGTTTAGTCTCCTCTCAGCCACCCAAGCCTCAATTTGAAAGCTAATCTTCTTAAAATAGAATGAGATAACCTCCCCCTCCCCAGACACACCCCGGACCCACAGAATCTCACATTTTCCTTTCTCCAATACATCTTTCTCTGTATCATCCCGTGTCAGGTCTCTGGCAGTCTGGGGAGGTGTCCCAAGCCCTCTCTGGATAGAATTCCTGCATCAAGGCCAGGCGCCCCCAGCAGCCCACCGCCCCCACTCCCGGGCCTCCTGGGCAAATCGTTAAGCCAGGCTGACCATACAGAGGCCTCCAGGCACGACTGTGGTCCTGCCCCTTGAGGGCAGTTATAATGGATCCGGGGGCCCCCAGCCCCTTTTCCTCTCCTGAGAGCTAGCTCTCCCCCAGGGCAGGGTCGCCCAAAGGGTCTCTTCCTCTCCTTCTCTCTGTAACCTCTGCACAGAGCGGAGGTGACAGCCCACGGCTTCCCTTCCCGTTGTCTACAGCTTCCGCCAAGAGCCAACCCTCACCCACATCACAGCTCTCAGGCCATCTTCCCGAAAGGAACAGCCACCCTCGCTGCAGGTGCACTGGCTGCGGCGGACACTGAGGGCACTCAGCCTGGTGAGCTCTTTCCAGCCACCCCCGTCCAACAGCCTCCTCGCCACTTGGCTCCCTTCTGCACCCCTTTCTCTGATTCCCCTGCTGCTAGCTCCAGTCCAAACGCGATTTCCCTAACTTCCTTGGTCACCCAAGGAAAGATCTGAATGGCTTCACACAGCCTGGCGCCTCTGCTCTAAAGTTCAGGAGAACCATCTCTCCACACTAGCTTGCTTGCATCTCCCACGTCTACAAATGAGCTCAGGGAGCTCCGTCTGCATTTTCTGTGTCTCGTCTCCTGCCTGGATCCTTCAGGTTATCTAGAAACCTCTCTGAGTCTCCGTTTCCTTATGTGCAAAACAAGAGCAATAGGACCGTGTGTCAAAGCTGCTATAAGAACTGAAGGAGATCTTTGGATGCCACTTAGCATGTAGTCTGGGCTTGGTGAATATCAGCCACTATTATAATTTTGGGCACGATTATCTCAAGCCCAGGTCTCCACCCTGCGTTGGAGGGCACTTATGTGACGCCTGCTGGATATATTACCCTGGCACCACACATACACAGACAGACACCTCTGCATCGGCATAGGGGAGCATGTGGAGCTAGGAAAATGCAGGGCTGAGGGCAGAGCTCTGAGTTTTCTGTGCAACTATTGAGCACCATGCCTGCTAGCTCTCCTGCAACAATTAAATCCTCCCAACTGCGCTAAGAGCAGGTAGCATTCAGGGCGCGTGTGAGGCGAGGAGATGGGATTCAGCGAGGGAAATGGGTGTCCTGCCCAAGTTGCCAAACTCAGTAAGTGACGGTGGGGATTCGAACCCTGGCGTGGTGGGTCTGGCTCCAGGGCCCGCTTTGCTTTCTGTTGCATACTCAAGTCCAGGGCGCTTGGGCGCTTGACACCGGGAGGGGCTCAGAGAAGTAGCCCGGCGCCTGATCAGCTGCTAAAAAGGACCGAGGACTCATGTGGGTCGTGGGATGAGCCAGTGGATGCCAGCTCACCACGGAGACGCGGATCCGCTTCTCCCCCTGGTCACCCGCTCCCCTGAGCTCCCCGCACCCTGACGCCTTGAGCACAGATCACACAGGAGGCATCTCCGGGGACTCCTGTTCCTCGGGAGAGTTGAGCCCGATGCCTCAGCGGTCCCCTGGCTGGACTCAGTCACACCTGGGAGGAAGGGAAAGGGAAAAGGGGGGAGGGGGGAGGGAGACGACGGATATCAGTGGGGGTCTGGGGAGTGCCGGGGGAGACCTTGCTGGTTTCCAGCCCCCCAGCCCCTGTGGCGGTTTCCCGTCCCTTGAGCATCCTTCAGGAGCCAAGCCCATTTTCAGGAGGCCCCCTGAACGCAGCAAAACCGGTCGCGGGGGGGTTGGGGACCAGAAGCAGGGCTGGTGCGGTACTTCTCAGACCCCCTGCGCCCACGTACCACCCGGGGGCCTCCCCAAAACGCACACCCTGATTCAGGAGGTCCGGGGTGGTGGCCGGCAGGCGGCGCTCCGGGCAGCAAGGGCGCAAGGCCCTCCCCGGTCCCGCCTGGCCGTGGGCGCCTGGACGTTCTGCGGCTTCAGCATGTGCCCGCTGTGTTCTTCCTCCCAGATGCCCAGAACGCCACGTGCGCGGAGCCCGCAGAGCTGACGGGGTGGCCCGTGGCGCAGGTGGGGAACCCGCTGCGCTACATGTGCATCACGCACCTGGACCGCCGCGACTACCTCTTCCTGCTGCTCATCGGCTTCGGCATCTTCTCGGCGGGCACGGTGGCCGCCTGGCTCACGGGCATGTGCGCGGTGCTCTACCAGAGCGCCCGGCGCAAGTCCAGCGACGAGGAGGCGGAGGACGAGCGCGGCCAGCGCAGCGACGTCAGCGGGCGCATCTTTAGAAGCCGGGTCGACTCGGCCCAGGACGGGTTCCCTCAGCTGATATAGCGGCTGGAGACTGCGGCCCGACGTGCCCTCCCCGGGCTCCCCGCCCCCCACGCCCTCACAGCTGTCTTAGACACCGACGCCTATTAGTAAAGCAAATAAAATATTTGGTGGCCATTTCCCAGGTCGGTCCTTTCCTGCTCGACCAGCCCAGGGCCACTTCCTTCAGCTGGGCAGGAGGGCACAGGACAAAGCCCAGAAGGCCGCTGCAGGCATTTCAGTGTGGAGGAAGGCCGACTTGTTTAATGAGCAACTACTATGCCTCCAACCTCAGTGCTGGCGGGAGGGACGTGAGAAACACAAGATTGGAGAGCCGTCCTCAGAGAGCAAACAGTTGGGGACAAGTCAAGATTAACATGAATGAAAAACGCAAGACACAATGATTGGAAGTGACTTCAGTGGAACACGTCCATGGGCCAACCCCACACCCCATTTCAAGACCATCCCTACGACCCTGTGGTCCGGATACCAGTTTACAGTGAAAAGCTGAGGCCTGGAAAGGTTAAACAAGGGACGAAGGTCACCCAACAGGTCGGCAGCACAGCCCCCCAACGTCCATGTTCTTTCCTTTCCACGAAGTTGCCTCCTCAGGAAATGTCTAGCAGCACAGCCAAGGACTCACCATGCAAGCCTTGGAAGAAAGCAAGGAGGGAAACCCAGAGGCGGCCACCACTAACTGAGCCCTTCGCCAGCACCCAGCCTCACCCCCAGCCATTGTAAGCATTTTCTCTCCAGGTCAGCCCTCACCGCGACAGGTCAGGTGGTCGTTGTTATGCTCATTTTCCTGGAACTCAGAGAGGCTAAGGAACCCGCTCAGATCAAACAGGTGACAAGAAGCCAAACGATTTTTGAAGCCCAGGCTGCTTGACCCCGAAGCCTGTGCCCTGTGCACCAGGAGCTGCTGTGCTTCATGAAGTGCTCAGTGGAAGAGCCAAGGGTGCACCAACGCGATCCGCCTCTCGGGACTGGCCAGAGGAAGGGCAAGGGAGCAGGAGCGGCTCAACCAAAGACCCACTCAAGACTCTGATCAAAGGCCCTCGCCGTGAAGCCCGCGGCCCCTAAACCCCCTACCAGATCTTTCCTACCTCTGCACTTGCACCATGAATCCCATGTGATTCCCCCAGATTTGTTCAGCGTTAGTTAAGAGCATGAGCTTCTGCCCCCTGATTCTGCCCCTGCCCCCATGTGGACTTGGGCTTCCTGGCTGTGATGAGCCTGAGGACTGAGACGGCCTGCTGTTCTCTGTAGACCCAGTGCATAGGGGCTCCATACGAGTTCATAATCACATCCTACTGAAATCACAACCCACCGATCCTCCCTACTCCATCATGCGGATTGGGAGGGGTGGCCACGGGCAAGCTCCTTCACTTCTCTCTGCCTCCGTTTCTTCATCTGTAAATGGCCGTCATTATGGTGCCCACATGATATACAAAGAGTATAAGAGTAATGTGAACATATAAATAATAATGCAACATCCTGGGAGAATTTGAGGCTTGTAGAAGAGTTACAAGGATAGGACACAGAGTTTCCACATCCCCCCTAAAGTTATCCCCCACTACCGTGGGTTATCTGTCAGACTAAGAAATCCCAAGGCTGGGATGCTACTGGTCAACCTCAGACTTCATCCGGATGTCACCGGTGGTTTTCCTTTTCCGTTCCAGGATCTCATCCACATTTGCACTTAAGACATTCTTCACAATCCATCTAACATTTACGGGACAGGCGTTGCTCTAAATGCTTATGTGCATCAGCTCACTCCACTGTGACACTCGCCCTGTCACAATGACCCTGTGAAGTGGGTACTATTATTATCCCCTTTAGATAATGACTCTGAGGCCAAGGTTAAGTAACTTGCTCAACATTATATAGCTAGAAAGACCAGAAATGAGACCAGCTGTGTCTGACTATAGGCTGTTTCCCCCAATAAGCAGCCAGTACTCTCTCTCAGTAAATTTTTTTTTAATGTTTATCTATTTTTGAGAGAGAGACAGAGCATGAGCAAGGGGAGGGGCAGAGAGAGAGGGAGACACAGAATCCGAAGCAGGCTCCAGGCTCTGAGCTGTCAGCACAGAGCCCGACATGGGGCTCGAACTCACAAACCGTGAGATCATGACCTGAGCCAAAGTCAGACACACAACCGACTGAGCCACCCAGGCACCCCCAGGAATTTAAGTGACCAAGAAAATCTTGGCAAAAGAAATCTAAATTGCGGTTTTTCCCAACTTCTCCTCTAAGATCCCTGGATCTTCCCACATCAAAATGGACCGAGCACGCACCCTGACTGGCCCTAAGAAGCCACAAAGAAGAGGTGGGGTTAAGACCCTTTAGGTAGCATCTGGTCTGGTTTGGCGGAGACACGAGTAATCAGGCAACCTCAGGATGGAGTGGAAAGTGAAGGGCGGACATGGGGTACTAAGGGACACGGAGGAAGGGCACCTCAGCCGGGGGGTCACTGGGAGCCCTGAAAACTCCCGGAAGAGGAGACATGTCATCTGAGGCTCGAAGGCTGAGTTGGGATTAGCCAGGCAACGCAGCAAAGAGGGGGTGAGACATTCTTAGCAACAAGAACTGCACATGCAGAGCCCGGAAGGAGACAGCCTGGCCCGTCATGCCAGGAAAACAGAGTCCAAGGCAAGGAGAAGAGAAATGATATCAGAGGGCGAAGCGAGGCCAGACTGGAGCGCCTTATACATTCCTTGTGTCCAGGTTACAACACGCTATGCCGCAGCCACAGAGAACCCCAGAGCTCCGTTGGCTTTAGTACAACAAAGACTTATTTTTCGCTCCTGTAAAGTCTGACGGGGGTAGGGCAGCCCTCCCCCATTCTGTATCTACAGCTTCTAGAACATTGGCCTGGGAGCCCCTTGCAGAGGAGAGAAGAGGTATCCAAGGCGTGTCACTCTTAACTTCCTGGGCCTGGAAAGGACACGTCACTTCCCCTCACACTTCACGCAGCCCCAACCTTCAAGGCAAGCAAAGGTAGTAGTCTGTGTGCCGGGAAGACACAATCCCTTGGGAAATGGAAGTACCGTGTATGGCTCCCCCCCTCCCATGATAAGGAACTTCAACTTCCCCTGTGCACTCAAAGTTTTAAGCACGAGAAGTGCATGGTCTCATTTGCATTTTGGGAAGCTCACTCAGCTATAAGGTGAAGGAGGCAGTAGAGAGAGGGATGACAGGAAGCAAGGAGACCAGCACGACTGCAGTATTCTGCATGACACAGGAGGGTGACAGAGCAGCGGCCGGCCGCGGCAATAGAAGCAGAAGCGGATGAATTTAAGAGCTTTGTCAGAGGTAGAGTTGACAGAATTCCAGGAGTGACAGCATCTGGGAGGTGGGGGCAGAATGACTAGAGGATTAGGGAAAGAGGAGGTAATTAGGAGGGGCCCAAATTTCTGACCTGGACAGCAGGTGGCCGGTAGCCCCAGGCACTGAGCCAGGGAGAACAGCACAGCACTCGGGCTGTAAAAACCTGGCACACGATAGAACATGGGGGGGTGGGGGGCAGGATGGAAGGTCAAAGCCTTATTCTCCGCAATGGGAGTCAACGGGCAGTGCCTAAGACAAAAAATCAAATAGGATCAATATAACCATGTTCTTTGGTGACATCAAAAAAATAAACAAAAAAAAAGCAGCCAAAAGCGTTTCAAGCGTCTGCCTCTAGGGAGGAAAAAAACACAAGGAAATGGATGGAAGACTGCCATTTTCCATAACAAATTTTGTAGAATTACAACTCTCTGAATAAATTATGTGCATGTATATTTGATGAAAACTGAGCGTTTCTTTAAAAAAAAAAAAAAAAAAGACTGGGGCGCCTGGGTGGCTCAGTCAGTTAAGCGTCCAACTTCGGCTCAGGTCATGATCTCACGGTTTGTGGGTTCGAGCCCCCCCTCGCGCTCTGTGCTGACTGCCAGCTCAGAGCCTGGAGCCTGCTTCGGATTCTGTGTCTCCCTCTTTCTCTGCCCCTCCTCTGCACACGCTCTGTCTCTCTCTCTCTCAAAAATAAACATTTAAAAAAAATTTTTTTAAAGGCTATCTGCTGCAGGATGTTGCTACTTTCAAGAAACATCTTCACCACCTTGTACGGGGGCGGAGGGGGGGTCCACCGGGATTTCAAAACTTTAAAAACAATTTTTTTAAGATTTCTTTATTTTTGAAAGACAGAAAGAGACAGAGCACAAGCAGGGGAGGGGCAGAAAGAAAAAGGGAGACACAGAATCCAAAGCAGACTCCAAGCTCTGAGCTGTCAGCACAGAGCCTGACATGTGGCTCGAATCCATGAACCGTGAGATCATGACGTGAGCTGAAGTTGGATGCCTAACCGACTGAGCCACCCAGGCGCCCCTGTCCACCAGGATTTCAAAGGGCAACATGCTGGGGAGGGGGATGTTCCTAGTCCCTGCTGTATATCTTCATTCATCCTTTGCCCCAGAACTTGATTCCCAGAAAAATCAGAGAGGGCTTCCTAAGGAAGACCACTTTGGACCTAGCTCTTGAGAAGTCATAGAATTTCCCAAAGGAAAGAGCACTTTACTTTTTCTAATATTTTTTAATGTTTACTTATTTTTGAGGGGAGGGGCAGAAAGAGAAGGAGACACAGAATCCAAAGCAGGCTCCAGCCTCTGAGCTGTCAGCACAGAGCCCAACATGGGGCTCAAACCCATGAGCCATGAGATCATGACCTGAGCTGAAGTCAGACACTCAACCAACTGAGTCACCTAGGTGCCCAGAAGGAACACTTTAGATGGGTGTTAAGGGTGAAAGCCTGGAGGTAGGACAGAGAGAGAGATGTTCTGGAATGATGGTAGCTCTGTTTGGTGGCCAGAAGACAGATGCAGTGACTCTGGGATGGAAACAGATCAATCACGTGGCTAATGGAACTGTTCGGGGCAGAGTATTCACAAAATGAGGTCCACGGGCCACCCGCACCAGGGTCCTAAGGATCATTCAGTGCTTCGATCTTCAGGATGGGAAATCTGCACTATAGTATGTTCTCTGGGTCAATCTTGCACACAGTAAACTTGAGAAACACCAGTCAAACACGAGGAGATAACGTCCTGAAGCAAAGTAGTGACAGTGACTGGAAAGGAAGAA